ACAGGTCGGATCTGTGCCTTATAGATCATAAGCAGCTGAGTGGAAGTGAAATAGCTCCTGGCCCGAAACAGATAACCAAGTTTTTGGGATACACTTTTAGCAATTGATCTCACGTGATTTTCCCAAGAAAGGTTATTGCTGATAGTAATACCAAGCATCGAAATGGATGTCTTCAAAGTTATGCTTACTCCTGACAAGCTTATAATGGGCACAGTGAGATAGGATTTTCTAGAGAAAAGGCATGCTTGTGTTTGGTTTGCATTGGAATCTATCAAGTTATAGGATCCCCATTCGAGAATTGTTGCCAAGTCCATATTTATGTTGTCAACACTTCTCCCTCGTTCGTTTCTGATTTGCCTGGCTGGTATTGGAGCCCTGGAAGAGAAGCCCTGGAAGAGAAGCTGTGTACTGGACATGATGCTGCTTCCAACAAATCGTTAATATGGAGTAGAAATAGTGTTGGTGCTAGAATTGATCCTTGCGGAACACCCGCATTTATATTGGAAAAAAAAATGCAATATGTTGGAAAAAAAATCCAATATATTGAAAAAAAAATCCAATATATTGAAAAAATATCCAACATAATAAAAAAAAAATTCAATATACTGAAAAAAAAATTCAATATATTAAAAAAAAAATCCAATATATTGAAAAAAAAAAATCCAATATATTGAAAAAAGAAATCCAATTTATTGGATTTTTCTTCATTATTCAAATACAGGAAAAGTGAGTAATAAGTGATGAATGTGCCAAGCTACTTGTTGTGCTAGAGTGCATTAGTAGTGCGTCGCTCGCTTTGACTGATTATATTATTACCACGACTCAATACGGAAATGGACAATGATTGGGATTCACTAAACGTATCAAGAAATCATACTGATTTTATAATAAAGGATTATTTTCTGAGTGGCATGCATTATGAAGAAATACTAGCCTTTCTGTATTTGAGACATAATATGGTAATGAGTTTATCAACACTCAAACGTAAACTGAAAAGTATGAAATTGAATTGAAAAAGGAATTATTCCGCATTATCCACTGTGATCGATTTCATCCAAGCTAAGTTGAAGACGTCTGGTCAATTATGCAGATATCGTTGGATTCACCAGAGATGTTTACAGAATGGACTTGGAGTGACGCAGAATACGGTTACTTTTTTATACGTATATTTTTCGATAATATAATCTGCTAGAATTATGAAAATCCACACCTCTTGCAAAAATATTATACATAACATGGCAATAAATCGTAGTGGATATGGAGAGAAAAATCACGAAGATGGAAGTAGTTTTTCATCATCATTTTCCTATTTTGCCCGCCTCTAAAATAGTATTTGGTAGTAGAAAGTAGTTGAATTTTTTTAGTCACTATGTAATTGCCCGCTCGAGTCTTTCAGTCCTTGCTTTGTGTTGTCGCCGACAGAGTTGTCGCTGGCAGATTTGCACACTTCGACCGTCAGCGGGGTTCTATTATAGTCGTGGAACTTTCCTGGCCGTTGGAATTAAATTTTCAATATATTGAAAAAAAAACAATATATTGGATTTTTTTTTCAACATATTGGATTTTTTTCAATATATTGGATTTTTTTTTCAACATATTGAATTTATTTTTCAATATGTTGGATTTTTTTTCAATATATTGGATTTTTTTTTCAATATATTGAATTTTTTTTCAATATATTGAATTTTTTTTCCAATATGTTGGATATTTTTTCAATATATTGGATTTTTTTTTCAATATATTGGATTTTTTTTCCAACATATTGCATTTTTTTTCCAATATATTGGAAAAAAATTAATTTATTTCAAATGTGTGACCCCTAGACGCTTTCGTAGGAATGTGTACTTATATCCAACAATATTTATATTTTTATTTTTTAGATACGAGGAGAGAAAATCCCAAAAAATCTGGAATAATGAATTAATATTTATATTTATAATAGTTGAGTTTTTAGTACAATATATACTTTCCGAAGTGGATCATTATCGTCTCCAAGAAGTTTTTGCCTCTATCGAGGCCTCTTTTGATTCATTTATTATATCAAGCATATCGGTATATATAGGTAGGTATACATTATCGAAAGCATCAATGTTTAGAGTTTTTTCACAAACAGAACATCTGAAGAAGAATGAGAACATAATAATAAACAGAAATAACGAGATGCGAAGTCGAAGAGAGAATAATTAATGATGGAAAACATAAACGAAGCTTCCTCTTTCCAATGTAAGTCGAATATGAAAGAATAATAAATTATTATGATTAGCGCTGCTATAAGTAAACGTAATATTTGTGTAACAATTATATAAACAGTTCAGGTAGAACGGATCATATTAATGATTATTTTCAATTTCATTTACCTTCATCTACATTATCTATACAGTGTGTTCACAGATTCAACAGAAACTATCATGCAAACATCATAAATAATATTTCATATATATTATACAGTGTGTATTAGCCAAATTTAACTAGAATTGCAAAGAACCGATTTCATAGTGATACCATCGTCCACCAAATTAGAATATTGGTGGACGATGGTGATACTATGTACACATTTCAGTTTCACAGAACTATAATGATAGAAATATATTGCGATATACACCTTGGTACTCAAGAATATCATGACTACTAATCCTTATACTGATACAATATTGGTCTGTGGGTGATAATGATATTCTTTACTAGTTTGCTGTATATACATATAACTATCACAGTGTCTTCGTAAGGTACCTACAGAATTGATTCATTTTTAGGCAAACTATCTATTTCTGAAGAATCTGCTGAAATAAGCTGATCTCAAAATATAAGGCATTCCATTTAAAAAGAGTGATCCTGGTCCTCCAGATTTTTTCCGGTGTCCCCTGTATATGTGGCAATAATTTCTAGTTATGGACCTTCTTGTCCCATTCATATTCGTTTTTGAATAAAGTCTTTAGCTATCATACAACTCGAGCAATCGAGCTCCTACGCACTAATGCTCCACCCTGTATATGCCGCCTCTTAACTCGTCGCCTTTTGAAGCAAACGGGCAATTAGCGACCGCCAGCAGTCGGCACCGCACCAAAGGATTAGATTGGGAGTTTCGATCATACAGGGAGTTTGTTGGTCGGAGGTTGGGATACTATTTTTGTAAAAAATCATAACATTCAATAATCAAGCGTCAGTTGTGCCTTGGACATGCTTGGACAAAAGCGGCTGCGGTACATACTATTATCTGATGAAGATAAAAAGTCGGGGTTATTTCGTGATTCGTCTAACTAAATAACAACTAACAAAACTAAATATTGAAACTTACCTAGTATAGTGTTCTCAGTATTTGTGATTATAGAGTTTCTTCACATCCATATCGCATAAAGGCCTGTAGGTACCCATACATGTATATTTTCAATTCGTTATCAAACAATTGGGAAAAACGAGTTTTTGCTACCCCCTGTAGTGCCACTGTGCCATGGGTTTCGGCAGGATCGGACGCGCCACAGTGAAATGTACATCTAGTTATTTTTTTATGCGTCCGGGAGAAAAAGGTAGATATTGAAAAAAATTCACCTTGTTATTAATCATTAATAAATACATACTGTCTGTAGATTAATCGAGGAGATGGTACATTCATTATTCCAAATTTTGTAGGATTGTCTCTCCTCGTTTCTATAAAATAAAAATATGAATATTATTTCAATATACGTATAGTAAGGACAAATCAGATGATTTACCCCAAAGTGCCACAGCGTTTAAAGAATTTTTCTATCAGAGAGCCTTAAAAAAAATTCACTAGCTTGTCAGTGACAATTTGTATTGAAAAAAGTTTGGAGAAGAGAAATAAAGGTATATAGAAAAAAAAACTAATTTCCACTTATCTTTGGACGTTTCGGGACCGATTCTGCTCCCGTTTTCAACATAAGAAAAGATTATTTCAATAGCGAAGTCGTATATGTCTTGAAGCTTTTCAGTTTTCATTGACAATTGGTGACGTTGGCAATCAAATGAGTTACAGGATGTTTTCATTAATTAATCTTGAATTTACCATTTTCATGTTCAGATTTTATTAGTAAATACCATTTTCTATCTATATCAACTGAACAAGAAGCAATGCTATTGTCTCCGTTCAGAAGAATGCAAGCAGATTCCTTGATTTTTCTCTTCTGGTTGTTATCTTCTTTTCCAATGATTTTAGTATTATTCCACTCTGCCATCATACGTTGTCGATTTATCGATGTGTCTTTTCTTTATATTGTACTTATGTTCCTTCGTCCTTACTGAAAGAGGTCTCTTGGTTTCACCTGTATATTCAATAATAAAATCTGAACATGAAAATGGTAATTTCAAGATTAATCAATGAAAACATCCTGTAACTCATTTGATTGCCAACGTCGCCAATTGTCAATGAAAACTAAAAAGCTTCAAGACATATATGACTTCGCTATTGAAATAATCTTTTCTTATGTTGAAAACCGCAGCAGAATCGGTCCCAAAACGTCCAAAGGTAAGTGAAAATTTGATATTTTTTCTATATACTATTTCTCTTCTCCAAACTTTTTTCAATACAAATAGTCACTGACAAGCTAGTGAATTTTTCTTTTAGGCTCTCTGATAGGAACATTCTTTAAACCCAATGACATTTTGGGGCAAATCATCTGATTTGTCCTTATTACACGTATATTGAAAAAATATTCATATTTTTATTTTATAGAAACGAGGAGAGAAAATCCCAAAAAATTTGGAATAATGTATTAATAAATACTTTCGGCAAGATTTGCTCTGGCACTGTTAGCGTTTTGTGGATATGTTTTCATGACCAACCCTGTAGAAAACTAAAGAATCGTCTGGGGGTTCAGGGTATATACACCGACCCGGCTCTTGGACTAAATGGGTTTCATCCTACTATAGTTTATTTTCACTTCTTACCGTTTTCATAGGTTTCAGCACTGGTCTAACTGATTTATCTTTGGAAATTCCTATATATTCAAACTTCATGAACATGGTGAGAGTATAGTAGGTATTATGTAGCATCAGTCTTCCTCACATTTCGATCATGAGCAGACGCGTTCAGAGAAATTGAGTGTGAACTATACCGAGTGATTCGATGACGGTTCAGGATAAGAAAAAAACAAATCTCTGGTGATTTTCCACCACTAACTTGATGTACGCTGGATTGAAACGAACCGAATCTGGAGGATACGAGTGTTTTTTTGAATATCGTAAGTTCATTATATTGACTAGATACAGAGTGTTCACGCCAGATTTTGAAACCCTTCCCCTTCCATATTTTCATTGATTCTTATCGACGACAAAAACTGAGGAGTTAGTTAAATGTTGTTGAATATTTATATTCGGTTATCAAAGAAGGTACAATTTTTTTCACATCGGGTACCCTCTATATTATGGAAAATTCCTATTTGGTCAAATTTGCCTGGTTTCAAATACGTGAGGTACCTATCTCAATATTTTCCCAAAATTACTGCATCTGCATAAACTAACATGGAATTATAATGGTTTTCTAAGATTCGTTCAATTATCATTCCGAATAGAAAATATCACAGAACATAAAAAATACTCATTATTCCAGATTTTTTTTGATTCTCTTTCCTTGTTTCTATAAAATAAAAAATAAGAATATGAATATTATTTCAATATACGTGTAGTGGGGACAAATCAGATGATTCGCCCCAAAATGTCACTGCAGTTAGAGAATTTTCCTATCAGAGAGCTCAAAAGAAAAATTCACTAGCTTGTCAGTGACAAATTGTATTGAAAAAAGTTTGGAGAAGAGAAATAAAGGTACCTATATATAAAAAATAACAAATTTTTACTTAGCCTTGGACGTTTCGGAAACGAATCTGCTCCCGTTTTCAACATAAAAAATGGATTTTTTGTATCGCAAATTCGTATTTGTCCTGACACTTTTTAGTTCTCAGTGACAATTGGTGACGTTGGCAATCAAATGAGTTACAGAATGTTTTTATTAATTAATCTTGAATTTACTATTTCCATTTTCAGATTTCAATAGTGAATACCATGTTCTATCTATCTATATCGATAGTATTGCTTCCTGTTTAGTTGAGAACACTATTTATTTTATCAAGACATTCACTGTTCTAATGCGAAATCCGCAGAGATGGGACTCGGATCTAGTACGTATTTATCAATAACGACGTGACATATAATATGCTGTCATAGTCATGGCTATTATTTTGATTAAAATTGAAGGGAAGTGCATTCATAGTGACAATAGGTCCATATTTCAGTTTCACAGAACGAAAATGATTGAAATATATTGCATGTGGAGGAACAAATTTACTATACACCTTGGTACTAAAGAATATCATTAACAAGAATATCATATCCCGAGGCTTCAGTCGAGGTGTTGGTCCCTAGGTAATAATGATATTCTTTACTACCTTGGTGTTTAAATAACTATTTCGTTTCCGCATCTAATCTTCAATCTGACGCTCGAGTAAATCCCTATTTAGCCTTTTTGCCTCCCCTACTATTTATCATAAATGCTTCTCATGTAGATTGTGGATTGTAGATGGGTCGCATAAGCTGGGAGACCACTCGATCACTACGACCTAGAAGATCTATTGTGATTACCCTTCTCTTCTCTAGTTTTGGTCCTCCAACCCTAGACTTCTGATGGAGCCTAGAATTTTCCTGACGGTTGAATTTTCCACCTCAACATGTGTTCTACGGTTTCGGTCGAATTGTTGCAAAACCGGCAAGTGTCAGTCTCCCCATCTTTTTGAGGTGGTACAGAGTGATTCACCATAAATATCCCTCCCTCTAGCTCACTTATTCTCCAAGCGATTTGAACATTTGAAAAATAATCTAAAATGATTTTCCAGAATATTTTTTTCCGTTGCATCAGAAAATACAGGGTGCTCGGAACAAACGATCTACAGAGTACTACTTGATTTTTCAAATGAAACACCCTGTATTTCATTGTATTTTTGAAATCTTCCTGAAGAGCTGATTTCATCAATACATCACACTTGGGGTCTAGCGGGAATGATTACAGAGATATCGGGTGTTCAAAATCGAGATTTTTTAACTTTAGGATTTTTTTGTGTCAAAACTACTCATTATTAGTCAAATCGGCTCCTACGTCCCTATCTCAACTTTTGATTTTCTATCTACTGACATTTAATTGAAACATTTACAGGGTGGTTCAAGATTCAGATTTCTGATCTCCCTGTATCTGTTCGAATTATTAAATGTCAGTAGATAGTAAATCGAGAGTTGAGATATGGACATGAAAGCTGTTTTGACCGATAATGAATAGTTTCGTCACAAAAAAATCCTAAAGTAGAAAAATCTCGATTTTGAACACCCTATATCTCTGTAATCATTTCCGCTAGACCCAAAGTGTGATGCATTGATCGAATCAGCTCTTCAGGGAGAATCTAAAAATACAATGAAAAATAGGGTGTTCCATTTAAAAAAATCTAATAGTACCCTATAGATCGTTTGTTCCGAGCCCCCTGTATTTTCTGATGTAGTGAAAAAAAACTTCATCAAAAATTATTTAAGATAATATTTAAAATTTTGAAATCGGTTGAAAAATAACTGAGCTAGGGGGAGGGGACATTTATGGTGAATCACTCTGTACCTCAGAGGGCAGTGTCCTGTAAGGAAGCCTGTGATAAGCTTTAGCTCCGGTTTGCTGAGGCTGAGAAGCTCTTTGGCTCGGTTCTGCGAATGGTTGATGAACCTTTTCGCTTGTCGTTGACCAGCAGTTGCTCTCCAGTAGGAGGACTTTTCAATTTCTACCCATTTCCTGAGTTTTCCCTTTAGGTAACATTTGCGTGTCCCACAAAAAGGCGATCCCAAACATTGGCGTAACACCAGAAGCTCATAATGCTCATTGTGAAGCTGATCTAACTAGGAAGTTACAGTGTGTCCAGTTTTCAATGCTTTTGCGTCTGTGATTTTGTACAACGCATCCTCTTTGGGTCGTCAGAGGGAGCCTCAAGAAAAAACAAGTGACGTCACACCGCGAAAAATGGTCGTTTGGAACTCTCTCAATTTGTAGCACTTTTAAAGTATTAATTAAACGGTTGTACAGGAATCAATAGATGAGAGGAAGTGCTATTTGATATACTGAGTCATGTATGAGACCGTTCGCCATATAAAAAGGGCTATTTTCAATCATAGTGAAATGGCCTATATTGCTAATTAGCAATAAACATTCAATTGTCTCAAAATGTTCCCCTATGATTTGTGGCTTCTTGCTTATGATAAAATTGTGTAAATGATGATTATTTTAATTCACACTAGAGGACATTTGAATTGGTGAACGTCACAACCATGGCGCACGACTTGTGGGCGTGGTCTTGTCAGTTCTCAGCATTCAGCACAATGTAGCCAAGTCTACACCATTCACATGATATCTTGTTATGGCGAATAAGGAATATTTGGACATACTGGTTGCTCAAAAAGTCAAGAATGAACTAAAACATCATGATTCCTCCTATTATGTAGTGATTCACACGAGACCAACGAGACGAGACTTTCATAAAGTCTCATCGTCTCGCCGATGAAATATGAAGTCTTGTTTCGAGTCTCGTCTCGCGGCCCTGAGTCTCGTCTTGTCTCGCGTCTCTTACGAGAGTCTCTCGAATGTATCGCAATTTCGTCATGCATAATTTTGTTTCAGTCTAGTGCGGGATATTTACCATTTCCTACATTTTAGGTATAAGGGAAGTAGAAAGAGAAAATTTCAACAAAAATAACATCATTTATTAAAAAGTAAGTACCTAATAGGTACATACCTACATCGTACATCTAAACAAGGAAAAAAAAACATTGCATTATATATTTGAAAGTTATAAAAATAAAATAAAAAGTAACATGTATGGGCATTCTTAACGAATAAACAAAACAAAAACATTTTTCCAACATTATTTCACTTATTTGAGAAATAGTTAGATAAGAAAATAGATATTTGTTTTACTAGGCAGAAAAGTAGTCAATCTACATTTGCTGCCTTGTGAAACATAGAATTTTTTCTCCAAATTATATAAAACCAATTTTGTGTAATTTTTTTAATGATAATGTAACCTTGAAATTAACCCGAGGGTCCAAGGTCTTCGGCTAGCGTTTCAGTGGAGATGGGAGGGTTCGATAAATGGGCGCCAGGTAATTCAATTACCTCCACTAACACCCAATGTGCACGTCACAGACTACCACAAATTACCAAGTGGTAGTCTATCAAATCTAAGGTGGTATGGGCCAACAAATGAAAATAAATGCAAGACAGTTCCTTAAGAATTCCCCATTTAATGAAACTCACAAGTAAAAAACCCTATACAGAGGGGATGCGGTCACCCTTATGACCTTCAACCAAAATAAACAAACAATGGCTAAGTTAGTTTGAAGTTACTGAACCATTCCGCGAAGCGTTCAGGAGAAAAGAATAATTCAAGTAGGGTGCGGGGTAAATGCGTCGCTTGAGCTCAGGCGCATGCGCAGATATTCATAAACCCTAATGGTAGCTTATCGTTTCGCAGAACAGGTACAAGTCATTTAAATATCATAAACATAATAATCAAATATCCCGGTTGAGCAAATTCATAAGGGAGAGGTCAGTAGAATGGGGAGAGCACAAATAAATTCAACAACACTTCCAACATAAAGTCAACATCACCAAAATTCCCTCGGCGACTGCAGAATCAGGAACACCCTGTATAGCCCTAGACCGGGCCACCCTGTATAGGCTCTAACTGGTTCACCCTGTATAGAGTCCACGTGCTCCACCTGGTAGGGGCTTCACATGGGACGCCTTATGTAGACTACGATTGGGGCCACCCTGTATAGTCCTCACCGAGTACTTGGGGTTGACGAACCCGAGGAAATCTTGGTCCCAGAACCAAACCCGCAACTAAAACCCTGGGGAAGAAAAATGTCAGTACCTTGACACAATTCCCTATTCTCAAAATCCCCCAGGAAAAGTAAAAAAAAAGAAAACCAAGAAACAGCCCCTTGCCCCTGGACTAAGATTCCATCACCCACCCCAGTGACTAGGCAGTCATCCAATAAGACACTTTTTGATCATTTGCCCCAAAAGTATAACAACACCTAATAACCCTTGCTTTACAGCCTTGTCAAATTATAGCTAACATCCTGATTTTTACCTGCATTATCAAAGGTTAGTTGGCTCCCAAAATCAGACTTGATCTCTAATTCAAAAGTAGAACTCACT